GAAGCAGTGGACTGAGTCTGGAGTAGAAACATCCAGAGCCACCGTGCACAGGCGTGTGCAGGAAATGGGCTACAGGTGCCGTATTCCCCAGGTCAAGCCACTCTTGAACAAGAGACTGCGTCAGAAGCATCTCACCTGGGACTGCTGCTGAGTGGTCCAAAGTTATCTTCTCTGATTACAGTACATTTTGCATTTCCTTTGGAAATCAAGGTCCCAGAGTCTGGAGGAAGAGAGGAGACACAGAATTCATATTGCTTGAGGTCCAGTGTCAAGTTTCCACAGTCACTGGGGTGTCTTGTCATCTGTTGGTGTTGGTCCACTGTGTTTTGTCAAGGGCAGGGTCAATGCAACTAGCTATCAGGAGATTTTGGAGCACTTCATGCTTCCATCTGCTGAAAAGCTTTATGGAGATGAAGATTTCATTTTTCAGCACGACCTGGCACCTGCTCACAGTGCCAAAACCACTGGTAAATGGTTTACTGACCATGGTATTACTGTGCTCAATTGGCCTGCCAACTCTCCTGACCTGAACCCCACAGAGAACCTGTGGGATATTGTGAAAAGAAAGTTGAGAGACGCAAGACCCAACACTCTGGATGAGCTTAAGGCCGCTATCGAAGCATCCTGGGCCTCCATAACACCTCAGCAGTGCCACAGGCTGATTGCCTCCATGCCACGCCGCATTGAAGCAGTCATTCATGCAAAAGGATTCCCGACCAAGTATTGAGTGCATAACTGAATATGATTATTTGAAGGTTGGTGTTTTTTGTATTAAAAACACTTGTCTTTCATTGGTGGGATGAAATATGCTAATTTTTTGGGACAGGCATTTTGGGTTTTCATGAGCTGTATGCCATAATCATCAGTATTAAAACAATTAAAGACCTGAAATATTTCAGTTGGTGTGCAATGAATCTGAAATATATGAAAGTTTCATTTTTATCATTGCAATATGGAAAATAATGACCTTTATCACAATATGCTAATTTTTTGAGAAGGACCTGTATATATATATATATGTATATGTGTGTATATGTATGTATCAACTGCATTTTAGCTTATATTACTACTTTGAAATACTTATTCAATCAAATTTATCATGCTACACCATTATATTCTACCATGTTATGCTCAATATCTCTCTTTAGGACATTGTAAATATTTCAATTAATTACTTTTTCACTTTTTGGTACTTTTTTTTGTATACCCTTAATTGCATATTTTTTTTTTTGTATTTTCTTGTTGGTTTGTTTTTTTTATTTTTTTTCAGCGAGTCAAATCGGTTCTTCTTATCCTAAGCATTTCATTGTACTCTTCACCCTGTGTTAATCTTGCATGTGACAAATAAAACACAACTTGAACTAACTTTATCTCCCAGTTGTTCAACCTGTGGTGTACCTCTGATCTCATTCCTAATCTTATCCATCCTTGTCACTCCTAAGGAGAACCACAACTTCTTCATTTCTGCCACTTCCAGTTCTCTCTCCTGCCTTTTTATCATTGCCACTGTCTCCAGACCATACAATATAGCTGGTCTCACCACAGTCTTGTAAACTTTTCCTTTGCCATTTGGGGCCACTCTTTTGTGTAATAGTGTCAGGGCCAGCTTTCGACCCTTTCACTATTAATTATTTAAATATAACGGGTTCTCTCTTTTTCGAGTTAAATTAAGGCCATGTGACGAGGTACTGTGAGGATTGTGTTTAAATCAGTGACATGAGACGTCAATTTTCCTTTGACCCATCAGAATAAATGCGGTCATTTATTTAACAGAATCAAAATTTAACATCAAAACATTGTACATTTGATTAGCTAATCTGGTTCTGATTAAGAAAACTTGGCACGTTTTACTTAATAAGACAACAAGACATTTCTGAAGGCATTAAGATTACTGGCAAAATAGAAGAGTTTTAAAGGAAGGAAATGAAGAGAAAAGATGGGTTCAGGGGGGTGTCTGTTCGGACAGCAGAATGGCACGCTCCCTTCAACACCAGCTCAAAACCTCCGGTACACTTGGCGCGTGACAACTCGTGACGACTCTTTACCTTTGCAGATGATGGATCAGCTCCGGTCTAGATGTCCCTATGCATGCAACCTTCCAGCGTCTCCAGTAAGAGCGGCTGGCCATCGTCAGGAGTCGTGCCATTTACTCCGTTCAACAAACACGCTCATCTCCCGGGTGGATACACAGCAAGCTGTCAGTCCGGCAGAGATTCCACTCAGATGTGGGAGAATCCATCAAAGACTCCAGAGACTCAGAACTCTCGAGAAGACTTGAGAAGACCTGAAGCCTGAGAGACTCAAGAAGACTTGAAGACTAAAGACTCCAGGAAGTGTGGACTTTTAAAGAGTTCTCAATTCCGGTCACTTCAGGACTTCCTGGTTGGTTGAAACAACCAACAGGGGGTGGTTCTAGTGATGTCAGAGGGTCACTACAAGTCAAGAGGACAGCAGGAATGTTTTAGGAACTTTTAGTACAGACAGAAGAAATGTTTTGAAGAAGTGAGAGCAAGCAGGTGCCAGTTGCTTCTTATTTGCTGTCTGCTAGGTTTAAAAACAATACAGCCTGTTCTAAAAACTTCTTTCTGACTGTCTCTGACTTTCGACCGACATCACTACTTCTCATTCAGACAGAAGATCAAAATGCATAATTACTTTGTAAATAGACATTTAACTTGACTTCTAATTTAAATGAGGATTAAAAAAATAATCATTAATACTGTTTCACAGTTGATTTAAAATGAGTGGTTCAACATTTAGAAATGATATGAACTAAACACACTTTTGATTTATCAAGATATTGTAAAATAGTAATGATAATATAAAAAGAAGAGTGATCTTTCAATTGATTACTTCAGGATACAATTAGACAGTCTCTGGATGAGCTAATTTGTATTTCTGGATTCAAATCAATGAAATAACAGTTCCTGTCCCATGAAGGTCTTCAGAGGCAGGTTTTGGTCGGACGCCGAGTTCACTACATTTGTTGCAAATCACTCCTGAAACTTTTCTCCATCCACTCCATCCTGCCTGGACACTCATTTTCACCTCTTTACCACACACACCATTTTCCTGGACGGTGGACCCCAAGTACTTTAAGTCCTGCACCTTTGTGACCTCTGCTCCTTGTAGCCTCACTGTTCCACCGGCCTCCCTCTCATTCTCACACATGTACTCTGTCTTAGTATGACTGACTTTCATTCCTTTTCTTTCAAGTGCATACCTCCACCTCTTCAAGTTCTCTTCCACCTGTTTCCTGTTCTAACCACAGATCACAATGTCATCTGTAAACATAGTCCATGGAGATGCCTGCCTAAGCTCATCTGTTAGTCGGCCCATCACTAGAGCAAACAAGAAGGGGCTCAGTGCTGATCCTTGATGCACTCCTCCCACCTCCACCTTGAAACTATCTGTCACTCCTACAGCACATCTCACCACTGTCCTGCTGTCCTCATATATGTCCTGTACCAGTCTAACATACTTCTCTGCCACTCCAGATTTCCTCATGCAATACCACACCTCCTCCCTCGGCACCCTGTCATAGGCTTTTTCTAAATCCACAAAGACACAATGGAGTTCTTTCTGACACTCTGTACTTCTCCATCAACATTCTGAAAACAAAGATGGCATCTGGGGTGTTCTTTCTTGGCATGAAACTGCTGCTCACAGTCACCTCTCATCTAAGTCTTGCTTCCACAACTCTCTCCCAGATCTTCATTGTGTGACTCATTAACTTAATTCACCTCTAGTTGCTACAACTCTGTACATCACCCTTGTTCTTAAAAATGGACATCAGCACATTTATCCTTCATTCCTCAGGCATTTTCTCACCCTCAAAAATGCCATTGAATATTTGAGTCAAAAACCTCACTTTCATCTCTCCGAGACATCTCCAAACCTCCACTGATATGTCATCAGGTCCTACTTCCTTCTTCTTCTTTCTTTTGAGAGCTTTCCAGACTTCACCCTCAATGATCTTTCTCACTTCCTGGTCCACAGTTTTTATGACTTCTACTCTTCTTTCTCTTTCATTCTCTTCATTCATTAGCTCCTCAAAGTACTCCTTCCATCTTTCTGTCACACTCTCCTCACTTATTAGAACATTACCATTCCTATCTTTAACAAGCCTAACCTGCTGCACATCCTTTGCAGCCTGATCCCTCTGTCTTGCCAATCGGTACAAGTCCTTCTCGCCCTCCTTAGTGTCTAGCCTCCCATACAACTCATCATACGTGTTCTACTTTGCCTTAGCTACCTCCCTCTTTGCTCTACATTGCATCTCCTTATATTCCTGTCTCCTCTCTTCAGTCCTCTCACTGTCATATTTCTTCTTGGCTAATCTCTTTCTTTGAATAGCTTCCTGCATTACACTATTCCACCACCAGGTTTCCTTATCATCCATTCTCTGTCCAGATGACACACCGAGTACCTTCCTACCTGTCTCTCTAATTACTGTTGCTGTAGTAGCCCAGTCATTTGGAAGATCTTTCTTACCACCCAGACCCTTTAACAGCTCCTCTCTGAATTTCTTACAACATTCTTCCTTCTTCATCTTTCTAAGGCAGCTGAGAAAACAATGAACACAATAATTTACCTACCTCAAATAAAAGTCCTACTACTGTTGCTACTTTAGCAATAACTGCAACTATCAATTCTACGACTAAAACTGCACGGCAGCTTGTGTGGTTTTGTGCTGTACAGGGCTGGAAGGAAGCGGCGTTCCATCTGATTCTGCATTAGTGTTAAAAAGACAATGATTCTGACTTAGCAGTGCACCTGAAACATTTCTTACCGCTCTCGCCCAGTGAACCCAGTATTTCCAAGATCACGTGTCGTCGTTCAGCATCAGGAGCACGTTTCAGCTGAGTGATCAGTGTATCTGCCACATCCTGGTCTGCCAGGGCCTCCCTTGCACTGTCTGCAAACACAAAGTTTGATAGCTACTGACAGTGTAGGCAAAAAACAGAAATCCTCACTAAATGGTGGGTGAAAATAGACAAGTAGCTTTTTCAAATGGTCATTTCTTTCTATGGCAATGATCTTCACTATATTTTTAAAAAGAGCCATACTGACAGATCAAAGTCAAAAGGAGAGCCGCAATATCACCCCAAGTCACTTAATAATAGAAAAAAAATTAACAACCCACCTATGAACAAAAAAGAAACACAGCCAGCACATTATCTGTTTAAACAAAATGTACCTTAGTACTGAGATGAGAAGCTGTGGTGCATGCCCTTGACTTTCTTCATGTTGTATTTGTAATTTGTTGTTGCAGCCACAGTGAGACATTCAAGAGGAGCATGGGTCAGTCGGTTTCTCTCTTTTTGCTTGATAGTGTTCATGGTTGAAAATATTGACTCACAGGTGTAAAAATGTCAGCTTTTAGCTATTACCCCAATCCCATGAAGAAAACACAAGTCAACAATAACAATGAACACCAAAGTCCATGCTCAACAATGAATAAGCTGTAATATGTGTACGGATGAAGATACCCCCTTCACATTTCCGTCTGCCCACTCATGTAACCATGCCTAGAACAGGCCCTGCTTAGATGCTTCACCGCAGATGACAGCAGGCGCGGAGACGCGCGCAGCCGGTAGCTGATCCATCTATTACAGGGCGGGGTTTTTTTTTACGCCTTTTGACCAGCAGGTAAAATGGACGTGCGTGGCTGGTAGCTGATCCATCTGAGGTTAACAGGACATTTTTTACGTCTTTTGACCGGTAGGTCAGTGGACACGCGCAGCCAATGATGATCAGCTGATCCATCTGAAGCTTAACACAACTTTTTTTTAACCTCTACTGGCCGGTCGGACCTGCCTCCAACAAGTAAATAAACACAATATTATTCGTAAAATCGCAACATAGAATCCTGAGCCGACATGCACAATTATTGCGCAATGTGCCAGCACGTTTTAAAAAAGGGATTGGCTGTGCTGGCGTATTGTTGTAACCTGTCATGAGAGCCACTAATAAAGCATGGCGAGCCGCATGTGGCTCGGGAGCCACGCAATGAGTATCCCTGCTCTATGGGGTCTTGGTTAGATTGGTTTTCTATCGTTGCCTTGTCTCAGCCAGTATCAATTCTGAATGGTGTGAAGGCCAAGATCTGGAATAAAAATTAATAATTTAAACTACTTAATGATTAAAGATAAAATCAACGACTCTGTAAGGCAGAACAGAACTGGTCTTTCCAGCACTGATCAAAGATGTTAGGTGTTCCTCACACCATAAAGCGTTGCACCAAAAGTTCTGGGTCGTTTGGAAGTACATCCACCCTACCAGGACTGGTTTCTGGGACAAATAGCATGTTTGGAATAGTAAGTTGGAGTTTTCAAGTTTCAAGTCAGAAACATTTACAGGAACGTCCCTGAAGCTGAAATGTCAACTCAGTAAATCAGAGGTCCCTGACCAACCCTGACTCAAAATTTTTTGTGGCTGCCCTATGCATAGAAAATGCATTTTAACTGTAGATTTTTTTTTTTTAATTTTCACTTCTCTCAGTTTACAGCTCAGTAAAACAGCTGTACACCAAGTACTACACTACTTTTCTCAGTGTGAACATGTTGCTCCATGATTAAATACATATTGTTAGCTGATACTGCTAATTTTACTTAGCCACGTCACTGAGCAGAACAATTAGCAAATCCTGCTGGTTTTGACTTGAACACCTTTAAGTTAAACATGACATTGTTCCCAGATTTCTAGTAAATATCTTTGTGTGCTTGTTTGTCTGTCTGTAGATCTATTAAATCAATGGACAAACTTTACTGAAACGTTCAGAAAGTAATTATGAACACAGAATCTATTTGGGGAGTCAAACCTAATTCAAGGTGACCACTGTGGCTCATCAACCTAAAACAACACAAAAGGCTATAATGCAATGATTGAAACAGATATTAAAGTAAAATTTGGTGAGGTAGATAGTCATCCCTAACAAACTGCGTAAGAGCTTTGTTTAATGTGAGTAAACTTAACTTTATTAATTAAAAAAACTTTATTAATGTGTCTCAAAAACTGTCTCCAGATTGAAGACATTAAAAAAACTGCTGAAAAAGCTGGGGAATGTCTCCTTAAAACAAACACAATGCAGAAGTCCAATATTTTTCAGTCAGGTCATCTGGACAGTTTCTTTTTTTGTGCTGAAATGTTTCACTTTCCATCCAGAAGGCTTCATCAGTCAAGGAAACACACAACACAAAACTGATTCTTCCCCCAACAGCTTACACCAAAGTGGAACAAATCAGTTATGTTGGTGCTAAGATGTTCTCTTTGGAATGCCCCCTCCTCCATTGCCGGCCCTCTTCCTTGTTGACACTTGAAAACAACAAAGTCCATGCTCAATAATCCAGGTATACAATCCAACATTTTTCAGTCAGTTCATCTGGACAGTTTCTGTCAGTAAGCTGTTGGGAGAAGAATCAGTTTTGTTGTGTGTTTCCTTGACTGATGAAGCCTTCCGGATCGAAGTCAAAACGTTTCAGCACAAAAAAGAAACTGTCCAGATGACCTGACTGAAAATTGTTGGATTGTATACCTGGATTATTGAGCATGGACTTTGTTGTTACAATGCAGAAGTGTTTGCAAACTAAATAGAACCAGCAAAACAAGAGTTTGAAAGGAAATGAAGAAACAAATATTCAGATCAGGCAAATTACGGCAGCATGGTGGCGCATTTGGTAGAGCTGCCACATCTCAGCAAGCAGGTTGCCAGATTAAATCACGGTCGGGAGCCTTTCTAGGTGGAGTTTGCATGTTCTGTCCGTGCATGCGCTGATTTTCTTCGGGTACTCCTGTTTCCTCCCACAGACCAAAAACATGCATGTTAGGCTGATTGGTAACTCTAAATTGTCCCTAGGTGAGAGAAGTGAATGGATGCTTGTCTCTATTTGTTCCTGTGATGGACTGGAGACATGTCCAGGATGTCACTCGCCTCTTGCACAGGGACTGCTGGATATGAGCACCGGCGACCCCCGTGACCCAAAAAAGAAGAAGCTGGTAAAGATGAAGTATGGCTGGATGAATGGATGGATATAATAATATAAAGTGCTATGTGTTGTCATCATTTTATATTCCCATTCACCCAGGTGATACAGATACACCCAGGTGGAGCAGCACCTATATAAGCACCCGATGATCAGTTAGGCATTAGATGTCTTGCTCAAGGACACCACTACATCAGACTCAGAGTTTCTTTATTTGTCATTCGCATCACATGGTACATGTGAAACAAAATTCTGTACACATGGTCCCAGTTACATCCACCAATAGTGTTGTATGACATATGTAGAGATATATTCATACATTAAACGGGTTCACTCATCTTTCTGGACTGGATGATGTCGTGCTTTGAATTTAACAGAAATGTAACGTGAGACGTTATTTATCTTTGACCCATCAAAATGAATGGAGGTCATTTATTTACAGAATCAAAGTTTAACATCAAACATTTACATTAATTTGGCAGAATATGAAAATAACAACATAATCAATCAGCTTTACAACCAGGAAAACCATACGGCCATGATTTTCCGTTGCTTCACCACAGACATTTCTGAAAACATCTGGATTAATTTTCTAGCAAATAGGAGAGTTTAAAGATGGAAAATTGAGATTTGTCTTACAGAGAGATGTGTGAGGGAATTTGTCTGTTTTAACCAGAACAGCACGCTCTTTTGGAAATCAGCTTGTCCCAACAGTACACTTTTGGTGAAGGTCGACTTTTACCTTTTCTGAAGATAGATCAGTTCCGGCGTGGAGTCTCACTTCCAACCACTGTTCAGCGTCTCCGTGAGAACAGCTAAAATACCTCGAGAGTCGTGTGAGGTTATCCAAACAGAAGTTATAATTCCCAAAATCGTCTCTGGTTCAGCTTGATTCTAATACAGCAGCTTCCATGAATGCCTGCGTTTGCATTCTGGAACTCCCAAACTCTCTGCATCTGAATTCCAAAAACTCTGAACTCTCCTTCTGAACTGGGAAGTGCCACATTTAAATGGGCTCTACTTCCGGTTCATTTGAGAGCTTTTGATTGGTCGATGGACCAAAGCAGAGGTGTGGTTTGTGATGTAAGGTGTTATTAAAAGTCAAGGAAAAGATTCAGATTGTTTAAGAACAGACAGAAAGATATCATGGAAAAACCAGACTTCGTGGCGTCGCTCCACCAAGTATCTTGCTGTAAAAGTTAAACATGACATTTCTTTTCAGTAAACTTTTAGTTGACCGAAACCTGAACTTTGACACACACTTACAAACTCTGCTCACTTCAAAGCAGACGATCAAGAAATTGAATCATTACTCTGTAACGTACTCTAACTTGATTTCTCTTTGAATTGAGGATTAAAAATCATTACTACTGTTTAAGTAAATAAAAATGAGTAGTTCACTTCAACATGTAAACATTGTTTGAACTAACACAATTTGATTATCAAAACATTTGTAAAATAGTAATGATCATAGAGAATTGTCTTTTCCCACTTGATTAATTCAAGAAAGAAAGTCTCAGGATGGGTCAAACTGTATTTCTGGATTCAAATCAATGAAATGACATCAGGCCTAGTCCACTACAATAGCAAAAATATGAAGTGTAAAAAGAAACAGTAAATAAGGATCTAAGAGATACGCTAATCGAACACCAAACAGTACGCTAAAAGATCTAAGATATATGCCAGTCACTAATAATGCAAAACAATACACTGAACAATAGCAGAACAATTCTCATATATTCTGTTCGGCCATAATTTACACGCTTAATGTGAGCACTAACATAAACTAGGATTTATTCAATACATGTGGGCATGACGGGGAGTTGAGCCTCTGACTTTCTGGTTCCAAGTTAGCTGCCCTACCTCTACACCATCTCAGCCTATATTACCATACCATATGGTATGGTAGAATATTTATAGAGCATTTAAAACA